CCGCACCACTCAGCTTGGTGTCATCAGCAAATTGCTGAGGGTGCACTCGATTCCGTCATCGCTGTCATTGATGAAGATGTTAAAGAGCACCGGTCCCAAGACAGAGCCCTGGGGGATGCCACTCCTTACCGGCGTCCACCTGGACACAGAGCCATTGATGACCACCCTCTGTCTGTGGCCTTTCAACCAGTTTCTTATTCATTGAGTGGTTCACCCATCAAATCCACATCCCTCCAATTTGGAGATAAGGATGTGGTGGGGGACCCCTGTAGAGTTCCACTACCCACACAGTGTAAGTTTACTGGACAGTGCACGCTCCAAAACATTTCTGTGTTGAGGGCCAGACCCCATGAAAACTTTTCAGTGCAGGTTTAGTTGAACCAACACCAGAAAGACTATCACTAAGACAGCTATACCCTATGGGAAGCAGAATGGCAGTGGAGAACACAAATCAGAGCACAACCTTCCTGTGCCCATAGGCACAGCACTGCCAGCATGGCTGGGGCTGAGCTGCGGTGCGGAAGGACCTCTGTGACAGAGGCAGGAAGCCCAGAGGTGCTGGAGGTGTGCCTGTGGCCAAACAGAAGCTGCAGGCTTTGCCCTACTCTTAGCTTGTGTGAGCAAGGGATGCAACACAGGCAGGGTTCAGCTTTGCAAGGACCCAGGAACAGGATTCGCAGCACGTGGCTGGAGTGCGACGACTGGCATCCCACCAGCCTAGAGACAGTATAGGCAGTCATGTCAGGCTTATTGTTAAATCAGCATTTCTGACTGGAAACATTGAAAAGCTAATTTGATGACTGCATCTCTCCACATCCCAGGTTTGTATTATTAATCTCTGCAATTGCCTTGCATTTATGCCTGTGGATAGCAGATGTCCTGAAGCCATGAGTATAGAAATGTATGAGTACAGTGTACCAGAAAGTTGAATCGCTTGAATTTCCTGCTCCTCATATGCTCTCGTGGCTTGAATACTGATGAGAGCTTGACTGGTGAGTGTTTTTCTGAGGCAGTCAAGGAATTCAGGACACACATAACATTAGGGTGCAGGCTAGGGTAGGAGTTCAGTTTAGTCATGGCTATGATGTTCAGGTAATTTCTCCATTCTATTATGTAGATTGCTGTAGTATAAGGCCAGAAGTAAACAACTAAATTTTTGTTAACCTCAATACAATGAGAGGCAGGATGCGTGGCTGCATCTCAGTTAGGACTTCTGGACTTAAAGCACTGCTCAATTTCATATGTGCTAAAACTTTTTGTAATCCCTGCTACTATCAGGTGGTTAAGAAATTGAAGATGATGAAGAACTCAGTTTGTTATCTGTTCTTACACGCTGACCTGTTTATACTGAGAAATGTGTGCATGATTTATGTCTAACTCTTGAGGAGGTATCTGTCACTGAGGGCTGGGTACAGCTGTAGGCCATGCCTTTGATCGCATATGCAGATTTTTCTGGGCCCTTCCCAGCTCTGCTATCCTTGTTTTCAACATCTGCAGTGGCACAGAACTCCATGCAGCATTCAGAAGCACAAACGTGTAAAAGGTTGACGTGGTGACAACATCTGATTCCGTCCCCAGTTATCCCTAACACTGCATTCTGTGTCAAATGCTGATTTGCAAGATTCCTCCCTGGGCTGGCAATTCCACTCAGAAATGGTAAGTGTCAGTCTGTAATTAGGGACTCTGTAATCCATAGATTAGTGGCTCCATACTCCGAAGTCTCCATCTGTTGTGCACACCGGAATCATTGCATGTCTGGTCTCAGACCTGCTTCAGGCTTGAACGTTTTTTTGCAGGATTTTCTTTGTTGTGCAAAGCGGCCCATTTGTGCCCGACACTCGGGGCCCGCACGCTGCGGCAGGCACTGCACGGCGCCTCGCGTCAGGCTGCGGGCTCCTCTGTCCAAGCACGGATGGGGCTTTGCAGCCTATTTTTCTGCCATGCTCAGAAACTGAGCCCCCCTCAGCAGAGCACACGACACGGTTCCAGCCGTGAGGGTTTCGGTACGTTCGGACAGTGCCACGCAATCGGAAACCGCTGCTCTCCAAATGGTGCAGAGAGAAGACAGACCCTTCGATGCGCACGCAGTCGCACTCAGAGAAGCGGTGAGCGTCAGCCGTGCTGCCCAAAGCTGCAGCTGCGGCACAGCGCGGTTCCTCACGCACCAAAGGCTGTTTTACGTAAAGGCTGCACAACACGCGCGGCTCGGCTGAGTGGCACAACTGGAACAAACTTCCTTCTGCGCGCAGGAGTCACACTGAGCTCTGTGCGGCCACTTGGGCGTCTTTCTGAACAAGCTAAAGCCTCGTAAGAAGCATGACCTGAAAAGTTAAATGTATGTGGTGCACCAGGATGGCAGTGGAGAACATTGGCACCTCAGGAAGATGAAGCCTGGCAAAACGACAACTTGTTCTCCGTCATTTTCGTTGCATCTTTATTTTTTTCAACCCGCAATCAGCTCAGTCCTCTTCCCACGCGGTTTGTTCGCACGGTATCGCAGCTTGCCTTCCAGCGCTATTTGCGTCCACCTGCACGGAGCCCCCCCATTTCTCTGACTTCAATGCCGATGTTCTCCGCGTACAAACGGACCTCGCGCCATTACCGCCCCAACAGCCGCGGCGCTGCCCGTCCCGCCCAGAGCGGCACGGCGCGCGCATCGCGGGCCCGGGGAGCGGCCGAGAACGGCGGCGCAGAGGGCGGCAGCGCCACCTGCCGGCCGGCGGCTCTTTCTGCGTCCCGCGGAGTCGCGCGCAGCGCTCGCGCGGTGCTGGGGAGCCCGTGGTAACGCAGAGAACGGAACGGCGTTCGGCGCAGGACGCTCTGCCGCACTGACCGACAGGGCTGTGCATCACCTGCGTACCGCGCGGCCTCTCCGCAGCAGTTAACTGAGCCCCATTCTTTTTTACAGGCTGCTGTAGGAAGTCAGCTTTCAGCAGCTCAGAGCATTGGTGTGCGAAGAGTTTGTAAAATAAATTCTGATGTCTTTTTCTCAAAGTGAGGCAGAGCCCGATAAGGGCTCCCCATCTACCTGAGCCACACGAAACAGGCAGCATCTTTATTTTTTCCCCTCGGTACACAGGTGTAGCACAAAGTCAGTAATGCAAAGATGGGCCCACGCTGGGAGAGCTGCCTGCCCTCCTCCCGCCAACCAACCCACTCAGCACAGCCTCTGCAGCTCTCCCTGCGCCTGCGCTCCCGACTGCGCTGCGCTATGGCTCCCCGGGCCCTTCCACTCTCCCTGGAGGCTGTAAGCAATCAGAGCAGAGCAGGCCAGGAAGGTGCGTTCCGTATGTCTTAGTTGTTCAGCCTCGACACAGTCACAGAGCCACGGCGGTTGGAAGGGACCTCCAGGGCTCCCCTGGCCCAACCCCACACAGCAGGCTGCACAGGAACACATCCGGGAGGGTCTGGATTCCTCCAGAGAAGGAGACTCCCCACCTCTCAGCAGCTGGGCTGGGGCTCTGCCACCCGCACCACCAAACAGATTCCGGACAGACACTAAACATCTCTGTGAATGTAAAGTGAGATTTTTTTTAAAAAATGCTGCTGTTTTATTTTTTCTTTATACAAACTAAAACACCAGAGGTCATTGAATCCTATATTAAATACATAAATTAAAAAATAACCATTCATAAAACTTTACATACAGTAAGGATTCTCTTCTACACATTAATACATATAATACAGATACGCGTCCAGTGGTTTATCAAAGGGTTTCTGCCAAATCATTAACACTTCTGTTCTGGAGTAAACACCAAGAAAAAAAAAAAAAGGAACAAAACTATATCTAAAAACAGGTGCTGATGTGAAAAAGGGCAGGGAGAAACAAACAGAAACAAAAAAAAACTTTCAGTCACCAGCCACTGTATGGCTGTTCATTGAACCTCGCCCTAATGAGAAGAAGCCTGGCCTATCCCGTTCTCATGGAATGCCAGGAAACTGAAAACTTTGGAGTTTCAGAGGGTATTCCCCCCTGAGATGGCAGCAAGGAGTTGGAAAATGAAGAATGTGTGAAAAAAAATAAATAAATAAAATAAAATAAAATTTACATGGGTCTGCAGGCACACCAGTGAGAATAGAGCTGTGAGCCAGGCTGGTAATACGGCAAGAAGCCTTATTTCTTCCTCAAACCAAACTGCCTAAATTCATCTCACCAATTACATCTTTGTCTGAAGTGCTTGAAGTGTCTTTGAACTCTCCTGATTTGGTGGAGAAAGGGGAGAAAAAGTGGCAAGTTTGATTTTTGTTCAGCTGACTTCCATCATGTGTGCGCCTCATCTCCTGCTGTGATGGTGTGGAAGTAGTGCAGTGCTGTGGTCCTGCTCTAGTACAAACAGGAGGAATCAGGGCTATGTTTACCATCCTCAAGGACTGAATAAATTGCTGTGGGTTTGCTGGCTGATTTGAGGGAGGGGCTGCAGAGACTCGTTTGAGAGGACTCTCAATACCTTGCCTCAGAGAATATCGGGAAAAACAGAAAGCCTTGGATGACAGCTTCAGGATAAAGAATGGTGGAGGGAAAAAGAAAAAAAAAGAGAAAGCAAAGTAAGGAAAAACAGAACCACAAAGAAGTACCACAGAAGATGTAAAACTAAACCATGAGTGCACCAGCTGCTGTAGCTAAACAAGTCTAGATTGAATTCCCCATACCTAGGTTGGAAATACATTTTCATAACCTATAGCAATGATTTCCTATATACAATAGTGACCAGACAGATAGATGTGCATATATACTTATATGTATGTATCTATATAATATAGATACATATGTATATTTAGCCAAACATTTTGTATCAAACTCATTTTTGTCAGGCAGAGAGGAGGAAACTTGTATTTTACCAGCAAGTGTGTTTTAGGCATGGCTCATGTAATGCTGCAAGGAGAATAAAGCAGCTGTTGTTCAGTTCTCTGGAGGGACTCTAGCAATCTTTCTGAAGTTTGCAACCTTTTACGTGTCACACCACAGTACCCTGTGGATGCTCTGCCACCTCCCACCCCTCCCTCAGCCCTTGGAAATACAGCACCTACATGCATATAACAAGAAAGAGTAAGGGAGGGGAAATCAGGCAAGAGAAATGAGCACAAGATGTGCGCAGCACAGGTCATAGGGCCTAAATAATGAAGCCTGTCACAAAATCAGCAAGGCATGTTCTAAAACCAGACAGTGTTATCTGCTATGCTTCTGCCCTGTGATTGTCTGTAACACACATTTCCAGTTTTTTTTTTTTTTTTAAACTAAAGCAGAGATGGAAGTTACTGCACCACCATGGAAAACACATGCTGTACTCATGCTTCTTAAAGACAAGCCTGGCATTATAACGTCTAAGGAAAAGTTTCCAGGCTGCATTTACTTCCCACATACTACTGCAGCCAAATACGAAACAAACTTGTGCTCCAGCAGAGAATGGTAGAAATGGGAAGAAGGAATAACCAGACAGGAAAAAACAACTTTTTGCACTTAAGAAATTGTGAAGTGATCCCAATGTGTCACAAATGTGGGAGGAGGCTCTCAAAGGGCCTGACTCCAAAGTTTCATGATGAATTGGCAGCAGCACCCTTGGAAAGCACAGGTGATAGGTTTGGGCCAACCTTATCCATAGATTCTTCTGCAACACAGAGCATGCAAACATACCAGCATTCATGTAACATACCTGCCTACAAGCCTGTTACAAAAAAATAAAGTAAAATGGGGCCAAACAACATATAGCTAGTGCAGAATTCAGTAAACCCCTTGACTAAAACGGACTGCTTCACGCAGCTCCATTCATTTCGCAATTTAAATTAATTTTAAGGAGCAGAAAGTTGCTGGTAGCTGCTAACCTTTAATGGAGGGCTCAACAGAAATTCCAGACATGCATGAAATGAGGATCTTCTCAGTCTCTGACAAACAGAACCCAGTGTTGGACATTAATGAGTAAAATCTATTCCAGCTCCAAAACATTTGAGGGGCAGGCATCCTCTGCACTAGATGAACTTCATTCCTGCTACGGCCGAGGAATAGCTTCTGCCCTACTGAGTTGTTGTGCAAGTTACTTCACTGCTTTGTGCCTCAGTTGCTTCATCTGTGAAAATGAACAAGCAAGCAAAGGCAAGACTCTTTGTAAAGCACTTTTAAAGCTTCTAATATGCAGAGTCTGTGCGCATAACATTTGGAACACATGAGCCCTCTTTTGAAGGTTTAAGTAACGCACAGGCTGTCTTCTACACTGCTACATGGAAATCCATTTTTTTTTTTTCCCAGCTGAAATTAAGGCGCCGCTGTGGAAGACACAGCTCAAATAAGCTTTGCCACAGGAACCTGAAGTCTGCACAGGCAAGACCCTGTTTCCAGGGAAATAAAAAACAGAGGCAGAGAAGTGCACTGCTGTGCCTAGCTCATACAGCACACCATGAAGAAAGGAAAGGTGGAAGCAAAGGTGCATCCAACAGACACAGAAGCTTGGCAGGGTTTGTTGCAGGTGCCAGCTCTCCTTGGGGTTTGCTTTTTACCGACTAAAGGGACACGCAGCTGCGAGGGCACTGCTTGCCTTAGGGAGACAGCAGGACTGGGTTCCAGACTTGGTCGTGAAAGAGATGCATAATGCTTCGAAATGGAAATGACTTCTAGTTATTATGGTAATATCTAAATGGACTAAAGACACTACTTCTCATATCTAGTAAAGATATCTTCACATGGCTTTCCCCACTATTTGGTAAACACATTCTTGGTCAAGAAGCCAGCTAACAAAATCCATTTGACAAGCCAAACCAAAATATTTATAAGGGCTTCTTATGCTCAGTAGGATCAAGGCTGGAACAAAATATCTGAAAGCTGATGCTCTGAGGATCATACAACATAGATACTGGGGACTGCTTTCTTTCCTTTCCCCTTGAACACATCTTCTCAGAAGCCACACTGTAAGTTCAATTCAGTGCTCCTCAGCGTATTATTCTTTCAATGAAACCAAATATGGAAGTCTGAGAAGTATCTGACAAAGGACAGGCTTTTCTTCATGCATGGAGTATGAAGAGATAAGACAACTCCGCCAGAAATATTCCTTATGCCCCACATCTGATTCTTCCCTTCCTCTGCCACGTGCAATGGTGCCTCATAATGACCTCAAATACAAAACATGGTGGTTTGTCCTGCCCACAGTGCAATAAGCCAGAATACATTTCTCCTTTTTTTTTTACCCCCACATTGCAGCTGTCATTGTTCCTGAGGTGAACACCAAAGGGAGAGAGAAAGAGTCTCCCTGCAGTGAGAAAGTCCGACAGTTCGAACAGAACACCTTATGGTCAGCATCTCTCTGCACAGCCTAAGCGTTTCTCCTGCTCTTTCCTCTTATTTATCTGTTTGTGGGATATCAGATTTAAACAACTGCCCTGCACAGCAGGGATAGATTTTTCTGTTGTAACTTTGGTTCCATGCCCAAGACACACTCTGACTCAATCAGCTGGAAGCGGATCCTTGCTGATTCCATTTAAGTTTTTCTTTAGCAAAGTAGGTTGACAGTTTATATTTCTTCCCCTTTTGTAATTTCAACATATAGAACTTCATTAGATGCAGCATATATCATAGCTTTAGACAGGAACTGTCCGTTAATGAATCTTGAGTGATGGCTTTAAAATACAAGGTGGTTGTGGTCTTGGCTACAGGTTGTTCATTTGTTTTTTTGTTTTTCTTAAACAGATGTAAACAAGGTTCTCTTCATTGGGGGGTTGGAAGCATTTGCTTTTCTAGGGACAAATCTGTGTGGCCGGGTGCTCTAAAAGTATAAGAAAAAGAACATCTGTATCAGATAAGTGATAAGTTCACTGCCTACCTATCCAGCTGACAAACAGAATCTATCAGAAAGGTGAAAGGATTTTTTTCTTATATTACCAGCTACCTTGGCAGACTGTTTCTGCTCCCCATCTATTGGACACTACAGAGTACAGTCTTCTGGTCAACAGAAGTTCCCACAGGTATCCTCAGGCAAATAGCTACACATCAGTCCATGGAAAACTGTCAGTGTCAGTAACTCTTGTACCAAAGTTGCCTAAAATTTACCAGATATGACAGCAGGTGATACATTTGTGGTTTTACCCCAAATCTAGGACTTTGGCTGATTCAGTAATGAGTCAAATGCAGACTACTTCTGGTTCAAGGAAATCTTTCCTGTAATATGGAAAAGAATTCTGGGTTTCAGATTTAATTGTGGGAGAAAACAGCTTAGTTTTTCTTTGCTTCCTCAGCGTTAAAATCCACATGGTAAAACTCACTGAGTGTGAGACTGAGGCAGACCAGACTTCTTTATGCAATCGCAAGTGAAAATGTACATACACAAGCACCAAAAAAATGCAGGTAGTAAACTCCCAGAAGGAGCAAGAGAATTCTGGTCTGGATGCTAAATATGCTGCATACGGCTTCATTCACACACATTACATTCTGAACTTGTTTCAAATGCTTGTCCATCCTAATCTCAAAAGAACAACATTGAGCTGTGCCTAATGCTGTCAGAAAAAGAATCCAGAAGGAATCATCTGCAATTGTATCAGTTTGCTCTAAGAGTTGAGAGACTGTTAAAGGACAAACTGGAGCAGCGCTCCAACAAAACCAAAGTTCTCTCGTTATCAGATTGTTCCTTACGTCTATTTCAAGGAGGTGCTGTAAGTTTTTGTTGTTGTTTTATTATAGATCTGTTTGAAGTCTCTTGTAAGGTTAATAAAGTCAACATACATCCAGTGGAAGTCAAGCAGTTTTGCAAAGATCACCCTAATGGTATTCATCTTGGTAATTCTAAGAACCAGAAACTTAGATGGCACAGTGAATTTTACCTGCTGTTCTCTTAATTATTTGATATTATGAAATTCCTGTTGGCTTTAGTTTTTGCAATTACAAATGGCATAGTATAATTAGCAAGCTTTGTCAGTTCATTTTCAAGAATGTTGGACAGTGTTGGTCTGGCTGCAACGCCACCTGTTAGATCAGCAGTGATCACTCTCCACAATGAACTTACAAATTACAAATTGACAACGACTTCCCAGATTCCTGACTCTGGACGTGCACAGAACACACAAAGTCTGATCCTCAGCACAGCGCAAGAAGTACCAGATTTGAGGAGAAAAATAAGTCTTACCTTTTCAAGAGGCACATTGACATCAAGGCCAAAGAATAAAGGCAAGAGAGAAGAACAAGAATAGAAATAGAAACTGCAGAAGAAAAAGACAGCATAAAAATAAGAAGTCATGGCATTGTAAGCACCAGGATTAGTTCTTTTTGCACTCTGAAGGACAAGTAAAGTAATTCTATGTTCAGAATACACTGTATTTCCCTAGTTACATCTCAAAGTGCCACATTACAAACAGATGTGATTTATTTTGGTGGCAAACTAGAATTTGCACCATACTGAAAGCCTGAGATTCAGCTGTCACTGTAAGCCACTGTGGAATGATGGAAGATACAAAGCTGGACATCAAAACTAGCATGAGTAGTATTTTAAAGTAGGTTAAAAAAAAAAAAAACAGTGCCTGTCATTTATGCTGGAAATAACCTGCAACTGTAAGTATACACAGTGTTATACAATATCAAAACCTAACCATTATATTTTGAAAAAACTGGATGTGTCATTTTAATCATGAATGATCTCCTGGAATGTGAATTTTTATGAATAAAAAATTCTGTGGAATATTGACACTAAAGAGTCTCGTACTCAAGGTCTCCATATGACCACTGCATAGATTTTATTTTTGTTTTGATTTTCATTACAGATTATGAAATATTTCCATGTTGTATACTCAAGAAAGACAGACACCGAGTTCTTGTGTCATGAAAATACTGACAGAAAAGTGGAAGGAATTATGTATATCAAGTTTTACACTGAACTCATTTGTTTCACTTAAGGAACATAATACAGACTGGGGGGGCTCATTGGCACTACAGTCACTGTACTGATAAAGCCACGGTTATAGCTCACATATGTACTTTGATATTCACTAACACGACTACATGGGCAAAGCTCTCACTGGAGATGCATCTTACATCAGTACAGCATTCCTAGAAAATACATCAACGGTAAGATTATGATGCGCCCACACTGATCTTTCTTCAGCAATCCTATCTAACCTATCAAGAATTAAGACAAGTTGATGTGACAAAGAAAAAAGCAGCACAGCTCTGTATATATTTATGTGTATCTTTGTATATATAGGGAGAATGTGGATATGCAACTTGACGGGTCGGCCAGGAGCAAGATTCTGGTACTGCATTCATATTGCATAATCAATTGCAAACTTCAGTAAACAAGACAGCATTAGAACCTGAGTTCCCAAAGGACAGTCTCTGTACCTTCACTGAGCTTCATTTGCTCCTTCCTGCTCACTACCATCACCCTGCCTTAATGGATGTACTGCTTGGAGACCAAGACAGCCTCTCACCACCAAATAAAGGTTTCAACATTTGGCCCAGTATCATTCACCATAATTAAAAAGTGTTCAGAATTTATTTCCTAAAATGAAACAATCTGTTGTGGAAGAGACTCTAAGATTAAAGTCAGAATACACTAAAAGGCAAAAACTGAAAAAAGGCATAGTAGAAAAGCACTAAAATGTACAGCTGATTTAGGTATAAGAAGAAATCCACGTAGTTCAAAAGAATTAGGTCATTACTTTCAAAACAAGCCTGCTTCAGAAACAAAACAAAACCAACCTTTTCCTCCAGATCCTTAATTTGTCTCTTTTGGATGTCAGTTTTGTCTTCTAAATCTCGGATCCTCTGGAAATTAGAAAAGAAAGCAACTAGACTCAGTAGCTCTGCTCAGCTGAAAGCAACCGAACATCTGAAGTGACAAAAGCCCAGAAATTAACGAGTTCACTTCTCTGGCAGGTATGAACTTATGGAGCAGCACAATTCCAGCCACTAGCCCTGCCTAACAGTGACTTTACCTCACATATGACCACTCAAAACATGATGTTGTGTGTATTTTACTGCATCCTCAAAACACTGGGAATTAGCATCAACAGTGGATGTTTGATAGTATTGATTTTACTAATCCTGTGGTAAAGATATGGAAAGTGTACAGTTGTGATTATACTGTTGGAAATATATCAAAATTAAGATTTCTCACAGTATGATGTATTAAAAAAGGACTAAAATGTTATCAGATGTGAAGTGTTAAATGTTTATGGCTAACACTAATTCTGTGGTTAGCAGGGTGTGCTAAACTCATACTCAGTGTGGTTTTAACAGAGATAGATACTTCTACAAAAACTGCGTAATACAACTTAGAAGTTTAGCACAATGGGAAGAATGATCCCACAGAGTTACAGACTACAAAAATGAGACCTTGAGTCTTTGTGTCTTTTTTCTACTTAGCCAGAGCCTATGACAGATGGCCAGTAACCAGGAGAAACCCAGAAGTGGCAGGAAAAAGATACTTCTCCTATGTGACATGCACCAGAACAATTTATGCAGTTCCTACTGAGACAAGTCCAATAACTAGGGCAGCCACTTTTAAGGATGAAAACTGCTTGGATTAGAGTTTTAAGACTCAAAATACTTCTAAAGACCACTCCACGAGCTAATATTAAAGGGTTTACGTGCACAGTAAAGACATGAAGTATAAAACAACTCAGGAAACTAGATGTCAGGCATGCCCGTGACCTGGAGCCTGCCCAGATTTGGCCTCAGTTTTTACTCTTACACTGCAAAACTGCATAGATACACATGTGCTTTTTTCTTTTTACCTGATGAGCCTGCTGGAGCAGCTCCATCCTCTCCTGAAGAATCTGGCAATCATATTCTCTGCTTTTCCTCAGCATCTGGCGTCTTAGCTTTTCTACTGCTGTCCTGAGCTCTTCCTGCTGTTTTTCAGTGAGCAGTTCTCCAAACTTTATCACCGTTTCTTGCTGCAAAGCATTGTACAAGGTGGCCTCAAGCTCCTGGATCCTCTGGTCGATGCAATACCAAAAGTCAGTTAGAGACAAAACTTTTTTTTTTTTTTTTTTTAAAAAAAAAAGGGAGGACAGGGAGTTGTGGCAGATTGAGGCACCTGCATGATGGTCCCTGTGCTCAAACGTGCAGGAGTGTGACAAGCAGAACTTACAGAAGGGCCCAGTGCTTGAACCAAAAAAGCGCGCACTTTCATTTGCATGGTATTCTAATACTGTCACTGACATCTCTTGGTGACTTTTTTTTTTTTTTAACTGGTTATAGTGATGATCAGGAGTTGGACAAAACTTTCATATGTATTTTATAATTGCAATTAAAAAGATGAATATTTCACCACCTCTAAAGCTGACCCACTGCACTAGAAATAAGCCTTAAAACAAAAGAAGACAGACTGAAAGTCAGTGCTAGACTAATTTTGCTCTTAACCCTGCTAGTCATGAGTATTGCCATTAACTGACAAACCAAATATGCTGAACTTGTGTGGCTGGTTACCAGACCTACGTATCAGAATTTGGTACAGCAGTGTTTTACAGCAGGAAATCTTGCTCTTTGTGGCACATCATCTTCTTGCTATGGCACACACAAAACGGGCCCTCTAAGATTCCAGATCTGAGTTCTAGTTGATTGCACTGACTCCATTTGGACATGTTGACATTAATGAGCAACATCTGCCTTCAGATGACAGAAGAGTTTTGGACTTCAGGAGCTCTGCCTTTTTATGATGTGCCAGCAAATCCTAGGCGTCCTTTTGAAGTGTTGCAGATGCATGGGTAGTGTGTCAGATAAAAGATACCAAGAGGAAAGCAAAAACCTCTCTTCTTGATCCAGATGGAGCCTGTGTCGCACTACAGTGCAAACCAATGTATGCTGTAGCACTTCCTTTGTACATACCATGTATGCCTGGTCAAGAGCTTGCTTCCTGTAGTCTAGTTCTTCCTCCAAATAACCTTTTATTTTGCAAAATTGCTCCTACAACAAAGGATCATTTGGACAGAAAAATGAGTTAGTTACTCAAAATGCTTGGGAAGTTTTATTAAATCAACAGATATCTGACTTAGGTAGGACTAGAAGACTGATCTACAGCTGACACTGCAGGGTTATTGGTATTTGGCTATCTCAGATAGAAGAGTAGGAACAAAAACAGCTGTGTTTGCTTTTCATGATAATACATCTACATAAAGCTAAATCTATAATCTCTTTTCTTAGTGGTGCCGCTTAGCATTTCAGTTTTTGTGCAGACAGCAGCTCTGGAGGCATGGACAACACCTTCTGTTGATCTTATTTTGGAATAAGTGTGAGAGTGCAATCAACTGAACAGGAACTGAATCAGGCATTTTCATGACCATGTTATTTGGAGAAAGATGCTGCGTTTAAGTCCTCAACTTAAGCTTAATCAACTTAAGTATGGACATGCCAACTCATGCTGGTAGGCTAATTTTAAAAGACTTCCACTAACTAGAATAAGAGTAGTATAGAAGTACTGTAGCAAGTTTATCTGTGAGTGTTTTACCTTAAAGATTATATAGGTTTAAAGCACAATGAAATAAAACAGCATGAAAATTATTTCCCACTTATCTATAGAGAATAAAATGCAGTACAACTACTAACTTTTAAACTTTAAGTTTAACATTAAGGCAAAGAGTGTGGTCACTTACATCTCTGAAAATCACCAAGCAGCATCTGAGTCTTTGTATTTTTTAATAAACAGTTATCTTGATAAAAAAAGTTCTCAAATGTCAACTATTTCTCTTTCCTTTATTCTGCTGTTGCACATGAAACAGAAACTTCATGGACTAATAATCACAGAAAGCCTCCATACGTGTTTTGCCAAAAGACCAGTTTTTAATAGCTTGTGGCACATCAAATGTGACATATTTCTAAGAAGTCATTCAAAGAAAGTCTGCCTACCATATCGCTCTCCAGTTCCATCATCTTCTGGTGCAGAGCAGCCTCAGCTCCCTCAATCTGCTGAATCCACTGCAGGCAAAACAATGAGAGCTGTAACCTGCTGTGTTTTCTAGGCAAGTAATGTTTTATTTTACTTTGTATTTCCAGCTATTCTGACCACATTGCTCGTGTCTGGTAAATCTGACATCTCTGCCACTTTAGCAAGGTGTTTGAGACTGTGATTACATTTACATTAAGGTATTCCTATCCTTGCAAAATCTCTAGTTGATGCACACTAATATAAAATACTGCCAGCAGGGTTTTCTTTTTCCAAGAAATTGCCTCCTGTACTAGAAAGTTTGATTGTATTTCCAACAACAGAGCTGAAAATTGACAGCATTATATGAGTCATTAGATAAGACTTGAGAAAAGCAAGCACACATTTTACCTTTTCTGCCAAAGACAACACAGTGGAAGCCTGAATTATAGCCACTTGCTCCTCATTTCTTAAATTCTGTGAAGAGAAGGAATCAAAATTAGCCCTAGTTTCCTACATGGATACAGATTATCCATGCTATACACACTAGGTCTACATCAAAGTGTCCCGGGTCTGCTAACATAAAGAAAGAAGAATGCTTTATTTCTTCGCAAGCTATGGACTATGTTTTCACACTGCTGCACCTCAGAAGAAATCTAAAGTTAGACCCATTTGCCTTTGGGGTAGTTTCTCTAAACCAAATTTCCATAACTTCTTGAAAAACAATTAAGCTAAAGCTCATCTGTTTCAGTACACACAGAGATAATCACGATCCTTCTTTTACTATTTCTTATGCACTCTTAAGGCATATCTAATGTTGACCACAGATAAAGGATATTCTCTTTCACAAGGATGATTAAAGTGGGCAATGTCTGCTTAGAAAGCCACACAGCGTTTGGTATTTCTTGCCTATTTATGAAACTTCTTTCAGAGAAATCCTAGACATGATGAAGATGTGGTGGGCTTATACTGCCAAACTAATTCATCACAAGTTTTTGCTGAGTGCCTGGATTGCAGTCAGGCCTGGTTCCAGATGTCATTTGGCTTCTGGACACGCATTCTTCCCAGTCTACTAAACCAGCTGTTAAAGCTACTGCTTTGTTACACATCCTCTGATTATAGAGGTCCAACAAAAGCTAAAGTTAAAGGTATATGTTCTCTAGAGGAACAATTCCAATATTACATGATTTAACAAATACCTTAGAAAACAGTCAGTTACAGGTTTCACTTATCCTCTGTACAGAATGTAGCTTGCAAAGAGAAAATATCTCCCTCTTAACTTACCCCATTATCACCTAGGATGTCTAATTGTTTTATGAGGTCTGGGATGCTGACATCCTGCAAACAGAAAATAAGATAAAGGCAAGGCATGCACATTTTTATCATGTCTGCATTATTTGTCCTTCCTATGAAAAACATTGAGATAAAACATGGAAATGCAACACACACTGATTTAAATTGCTTTTGCACCAGGTTTTGTAATCATACTGAAAACTACAACTCCATATGTCAAACAAGTTTCATTAGACTGATTAAACCTGAAAATTGACTGGAGTTATTTGCAGAGATCAACGTAAGTGATTACACGGACAGCATCAGCCACTCCTGTAGTGAGCCCTGCCCAATGAAACTGACTTACCTTCACCCCTTCCTTCATGCAGTATATCTGTAGAGCGCTCACACCGTCTGAGAATGGGTGAATTTGAAGATTAAATGGTGGGGACCGTCTCTCTCTTTCCTGAATATTCATGAAGACGACACCAGAGAGCATGTTAGCATGAATGAGATGCGGAGAGAACTCAGCAAATGCCACGGCTACTGTTTATATCATGCTCCACAAACTTAGTCTCCTCACAGTAGGAGAAAAGCGTTACATCAGCATTTGACAACTGCTGGTAACATCTAATGGCAGGACTCTAGGCTAAGAATAGAGTGCAGAGTAGCATAGGATCCTAAATTCCAATTAATTATTTTACGGCACGTTATTTATTGATGAATTATGTATGTTTGCAAGTTGTCTGTCATCGGCTAAGACTGTCATTTAAAGTGATTTGCTCAGTAAAGTGTTGAAAAAAAAAAAAACAAAACAAACTATACACTGCTGATAGTACTACCTTTACGAGCAAATATTTTACTTAAGACTACAAGGATACTTGGATTACATCCTTGCCCATCCTCACATCACATGTTCTATTACTCATGGAAAGCAGTAGGTTCAAGGAAGTTGATAAACATAGCTGTTTATACACCTTCACTGCCTAAAATCTACAAACACCTATTTTAAAAGGCCAAAGAAAAATAAAAATCTGAAGATGTTATTTCACATTCCTTTTCTTAGTCAGGCAAGCACACAAGATTAAATTTCACCTTGAAATACATTTCTGGCTTGTGAGCATTTAATTCAATTCTTCATTTCCATGAGAAAATAAACAAACAAGTTCACAAACAAAAAAACCACAACTGGATATCAGCAGCAATTTTGGCTGCCAACTAGGATGCAGCCCTAAGTAAAGTACATGAGGATGGAGTTTAAATCTTGCTCACTGGGTCATTTCAATCCAATTCATTTCTGTTAATTTTAATAGATTCTGGCCAGCACTGTGCATATATCCTCCAGGCCAGCAATAAGGACAAAGCATGCTGACAACAGACCGCTCTGAACTATTAGAAAAAACATACCTACAAGTGTGATAACTTTGCACAGCCACACCAAAGTTAATCAGCTAAGATTAGCCTTGCTTACTAGGCATCTGGCTCGGACCAAAATGAGTCAAGTACGGAGGTTACTGTTTCCAGGACACTAGAGCCCACATATTCCCACAAACTGCAAATAAACGTGCTTGCACTGATTAGTTTCTCTATCATATCATTACAGTGTTGGTGTAAACAGTCAAAGTTGGTGTCCAGTGTGAGTGAACTGGTTTCATCTGCTACCAGCTCTACTGCAAGCAGAACATCACTACCTCCAGCTCCAGGTTGCGGAACTCCAGCAGCTCATTCTGGTCCCGGGCATCCTGTAGCTCCTGTTGCAGACGGTTGTTTTCTGCTTCCAGTTTTTCTATCTAATAGATATACATAAATTCATTATCTGCATGACTGTTACATGAGACACTGAGTATTTGTCACGTAACAGTTCGGACAGCATAGGCAGTGTAAAATCCAAACCTCTAGAGATGATTCTCTAGCTGCCACGTTAACTCAAAGAGTTTATAATTTACAGGTGAACTTCTGCTCACCTTGCTAAACATCATAAAATGCTCACATTAAAGGTTTTCCTAAAGGAATCCAATCCTAGCGAACATCAGTGGGAAGGCTGATGGAAACATCAAGCTAGCTATTAGATTAGTCTGTATTAACTATAATGTGCATTGCTCTCATGGTAAAGCACTGGAATAGATGGTTTGGAGGGGAACTGTACAGACTTAGAGGACTCTGCAAACAGCCTGGATAAGCACCTATCAGGAACACCTGGTCCTGCCTTGGAGGAGGTCCTGGGCTTGATCAGAGATTCTCAGTGTGTAGCACAGTCAGCACACAGGGACAACTGTCTCTGGATGCAGTTACTTGAGCAGCTATCCTACCTCATTCGAGCACTCCTCAAGAACAGTTCTGTCAATTAGCAAATAGATGTGAATAACATGCACTGGCCAATTAGATACAACTTCGTTGCTCTGGACAGTTCCACCTCTGATCCCCTATAGCCTGCTCCCTTCCACAAGTCTCTGGTCAGTGCTAGGATCTATATTTTGCAATGAGGTTTTCCGAGTGGAGCCAATACCAGGACAGTTGATCTGTATCAACATGCTCCCAAATGAGCCCCCTTGGGTCAATTCATCTGGCTGGGGAATTATGACACAGGGCTGGAGACTTATAAGACTTGTTTATGGAAGGGAAGAAACACAGCTAGGATGCCCTATCTAGAGAGGTGAAAGAAGTTAGGAGATCCATTGCTGGGTGTTAATGGCCTCATGCTGATGGCAGTCATACGTACAGCCACTGCTGTAACTGTTGGTGATACGCAAGCAATGCTAAGGTCCTTCATGGGCTTATATTGCATGACTAAAAATGCATACATACAAATATATGGATATACATATGCACACGTAAATGCTTCAAGTAAAAGAGCAGTTCAAGTTCACAGGACCTAGGGGTGACTCAAGCCCTTAAAAAACAAACAAACATACATATGGACTATACTGAGACCAGGAGTACAAAAGCCCTGATGTTAGAGGGTGACTTCATTTCTGCTGCCATTTCATATCAAGAAGCTCAGCTCTGATCGTCCTGTTGAGGCAGCATCAGCAAACTCTTCGAAACACTGCTGCAACAGCATAATGTTAACAGCAGAGCTGTAATGCTGAGCAAAACTTCCAAGTCTTAGACTAGGATCATCAAGAACTACTACCAACAGTGTCTTATCAGTGCTGGAGCGGCCATATCTATCTACATCACTCTATCTGTATATCCTGTTCATATTCAAATACACTATGCTATCCATACACTATTCTTGTAAACACTAGAGTAAACATCCAAAAGGTGTATTTTAGGATCAAGATTACCTACAGAGTGAACACAATCATCACCAAGGTTGGATAAGACCTCCACGATCATCCAGTCCAACTGTCCACCTATCATCAGTATTTCCCACTAAACCATGTCCCTCAGTCCAACATCTGAACATTTCTTGAACACTCCCAGTCAGTAACTCCCTGGACAGCCCATAGCAGCACCTGATCAGTCTGTCGGAGAAGTACCTTTTCCTAACATCAATCTCTCCTGGCACAGCTTGAGGCCATTCCCTCTATCTATATCACTAGCTACATTGGAGAAGAGGCCAACCACAACCTTACTGTAACCTTCCTTCAGGTAGCCATAGAGAGCAATAACATAACCTCCCCTGAGTCTCCTCCAGACATGCAAAACTCAGGAACATACCTTGTCTAAAAGCTCTTGGTTCCTCTTAATGAAAAGCTGTTTGTCTTCCACCCAATGGGAGTCCTGTTGAATGAAGCAGTTCTGTTACAGAATAATCAAACCTCACAAGGCTGAAAATTGGAACCACAATACTCAGGTTTTAAAATCCTAAGTAAACAAATCATGGATCACAAAACAACAGCATATTAGTTTAGCAAGCTTTAGCAAGGCTTCTAAGCACACTATACCTGCCTGCTTATTACACAGAGAATGTGTAATAATAATACATCTTGGGGAAGTCTATAATGAAATTGTGCTAGGTGTATTCTAAACAGAGTGAAGATACAAAACAGGAAAAACAAAATACACAAGAGGTGCTTACCTGTCCTTTTTGTGCTAAAGTTTTCTCCAAATCTTCTATTTTGGCTTTGTATCTCTGGACTTCTGCTTGGAGCTGCTCCTGAGCCTGTCAAAGTCAAACACAGCATTCAGCAACAACCAAAACAGCAGTGTGACTGACATAAAAAAATGAAAAACAAAATAGTCTGGATCTACACCATTATTTCTAGGGAATGAGTAATCACTACAAAGATCCTAGCTCTGTAATATTTGTGTCACCTTACACATGCATACAGATGGCAAAAGGGGACAGAGCAGCAGTTCCACTCAAGTCTGTTAATAAACATGTCTAAACTGGAGCAGAGCAATGGAAGGCCAGATATTCAGTGTGAAACTCTACTCAAAGACCCTAGTGAGAGCCTGTAACACTACAGTGCAATGGAAAGTATAGCAGCAATAGCAGGATGGCAAAGACTTCAGCTGCAACAAGTGAGGACAAGCCCAAACGCAGCAGCCACAGATACAGAAAAGAAGAAAAGGGAAAAAAAAGCTGCATTCAGGTGGGTATTTCTAAAGTTGGTGCAATTTATGCCTTTATGGAAAAACACAGGCCTCCATTCACACACACAAATCCAACCCCTTCACACCTGGGCAAAACAGGAGACCATTTCTGTGACTCTGTGCCAAACTACAGAAGCAGCTGCTTCGACACGTCTGTCTAAACACAAGGGTTTGAAACAGCCAGAGAACAGACCCTTGTAAACAAAGCAATTGTGTCCATCTTCAGTCATCACTCTCTTGAAATATACTTGCCAATGAGTGAAATGCAGCAGATAGATGTCCATGAATATTTATCTCCTTTTCCTTGCATGCCACTACGAGAAATCAAAACATTCTGATAGTAATGAAACGCTTTGCCTCTCAGACAGCTACTGACCTTGGCTTCTCTTTCAGCATCTATGACGCCTCCTGTTTGCTCTTGCAGTAGTGCATAAGCTCTCTGCAGGGCCTGATATTCCTTTGTCAACTGTCGAAACCGCAGCTCTGATTCTTCTGCAGCTAAACTCTGAGGAAAGAGAAAGGACACGCCTAAGCACTAGACAGCACAGCACTGCCAAAGCAAAGAACACAAGTGTAAGGTATTAAACACATTAGTTGGTTTACAGATCTTGATTTAGAACAGCTTTTATGGTGATCCTGCTGTAATGAGAAGTGATAAGGATGTAGAATTAATTGAATTATGTGTCTTTAAGCTAAAAAGAAGCGTGGCAAGTTCATTTTCTTGGAAGATGAGAGGGAAGAAGTCACCTCAGACTGCAATGAAGTCATAGCTGTAGAGTCTATGGACTAGACTTTGAGAGAACTTCCCAGTATTTGAGTATATGAAAACGAGGCCGAATTTAATGAAGAACTTGCCATCCAATATGCAGCAATAAAACCCAGGTCACTTGCTTTGAAGTCAGAATCATTTGAAGATTTGTCCTTGCCTATGGAAATCGAGTCAGATCTTACCTCATCCAGATCATCATCCGGAGTTGCTGGTGTTCTGTCTGTTCTGTATGAGGCCACTGAGGATGTTTCAGAGTCCATGGAATCATCATCATACCCCAAAACTGTGTCTATCACGTGTCTCTAAAGAAGGAAAAACATGGTTTCTGAAACTGCCTGGAAACAGCCAGTATGGGTTTCTAATTTGGAGAAGGATTAGTTTCAAGCCCTATTACCAGCAAAAGGAATCTGAATCCAACAACAAAAAAACAAAAAACCAAAAAACCAAAAAACCAAAAAACCAAAAAACCAAAAAAACAACCACGAGAACAGAAGATGCCAATCAACTTTTACATATCTTTTTTTAATTCATAGTTTTTCCTCTTACCTTAATTGGCTTTGAACTCCTTTTACTCCTTCTGCGACGAATGAGTTTCTCCCTGTCCTGGAAAGTGAGATTGAAAAGTTATTGGACTCAATTTTTACCTCTATCTTCTTTTGTTTGCAGCCCCAGAATGTTAGACCTACAGATGAGATAAGTCATTGCTTTTCCACTGACTGCTATATTTTTCAGAAGCAATATGATTCCAGGTAGAAGGGAAGATTCATACCTAAATCTGTCTGCCACCTGAAAAATCACTTGATGAAGAGGGAATAGCAGAAAAGCAGCCCCTGCTGTTGTGTAGCTGCCTTGGCAGGCGGCTGTCAGACAACAGACACTGATCAATTTCCTGTGAAAGTCACCAGGAGGCTTTCACAGGGCACCCATTTGGGTTCATAATGGGAAGCAAACTGCTTTCACTGCAAAGGTGGTGCTTCCTCTGTCTCAGAGTTATTAAGAGATACACATGTTGATTTCACCACTTCTAGCAATGGTGCCTTAGGAGAAGAAACAGCCTGCTTTGGAGTATCTTTCTCCTTCCCCTCAACAAAATGCAAAGTTATCTGAAAAAGGGATTGTCAGTGTTAAAGGATACAACATAAGAACTAGAGAACCACTAGCACCATGCTCTTTCCCAGCACACAAAGGGCACTGCGTTGTGTGCATGCATTTTTCTTCTCCAAGAAGATTTTAATAGCAGCATGGTTACCTCATACGCCAGCTTGTCACAGCCCTGCCTTGCAAAGGTGTGTGTATGTTCCTGAGCTCCACTGTTCAGTCTGTTCATTTCTACAGCTCAGTTCACACATAAATGTCACATTTTCAAGTTGCAGAGACAACATCCCATTAAAAAAGCAGTTAGTCCACACCAACACACTCTGACATCTAAAGCTACATAGGTGTTAAGAGCAAGGAAGATATGAAACCTCAGAATTCTATTCATAATATGAAATACTAGTAGCAGTTAACTTTGTACAGGAATTGCTGCTAATTTCCTGGTGTTCTGGACATACCCTTGTTAACTCATCAATTATGTTCTGTTGTTCTATGACCTGAAGCTTTAAAAATTCCGTTTCTTGTTCTTCATTAGCCTGATCCAGGTCATTGAGAGATTTTAGTTTCTTTAGTGGAGGATGCGATGTCATTTTTTCTCTCTGTGGTAAGAAGACATAGATAAAATAAGATCCAGCAATTAAACAACAAAAACAAACATTCAGTTATAAATTAAGTGGAGCTTTTCATTTAGAATGTACCATCATATTAATATGCTTCTGCTAAATAATTTGTATAACTTGTAATTTTATAATTCATAGTATCAGCTATACAAGTTTTATAAACCACAAGCACCTTCTTAACAACAAAGCAGCACAGAAAGGCTGAGTTCTGCTTGAAGAACAATACGGACTTACATCTATTTATTTTGTGGTAATCTAACTTCTACCCCTTAAAAGTCACATGCATTCAGAGGCCCACCGCATGGCAAATATATTTATCCCCTGTCCAGGGGACATCCCAGTAGTATCTGCTCCATGTCCCCACGCATTTGCTGATACCCCTCAACTGACCATATACAGTGAGCAACTGGACATTTCAGCTTTGTGAAAAACTCGTATCCTGCCAAAAGAAGAGGAAGGGGAAATAATGAGGCACCATAACTATTTTAACTAGAACACTGTGTGCTGCCTGCTCTGAGCACGTGTGGAAGAGGAAACACCTATAGCCCAAGAATATTATTCCAGCCACCCACAGCCTGCTAACTTGCATAATTTGTGCATCTACGCTACTAAAAACAGATGGCAACTCTTGATAGTGGAACTAAGTTGCCATGCGCACCCATATGCACTGGTGGTGCTGTCCCCTGATGTCTAATGCATGATCACTAAAGTCTCTCCTGCTTGCTGTGAGAGAGGCCAAGGGGCTGTGATTTGCCATCCACGACTGCCATGGAAAAAGAATTCTAATTTGTAATGTCTGCAATAAGTGTATCTGTCTTCCGGGCATGGGTGAATTGCAGAGTCTTAAAATTGATTAGCCTTGTAGAGTAGAACATAACTCAATACAACTTCTAATTCAGCCTCAAATATAGTTTTCAGGATATTAAAGACTGATTTTATGCGTTCACTCAAAAATACTGCACACAAGCATAATAAACAACATTATGTAAGGCTATTATGCACAAACCTAACCATTGCTGTATCTTGTCCATAGTAGTACACACACGTATGCACTCACCATGCAAACGTTTCCACTAGAACAGACATATCATGCAGTAATATGCAATTTTCTCTTCAATACTGACCATTTCTATGTTTTCTTTAGTGACTGCTTTGAGTTTATCTTCTATGCGCTGCAAAGACTGCATCAGTTCATCATTTCTCTTTGTGAGGCACTTGTTCTTCTCCAGGAGAGGTTTACATTGTTTTTCAGCTTCTCGGACACGCTTCAGCTGAATTGATAACAATTGATTTGTAGCAATTAATAATGGTAAGTAGTCCAAATAAGAGATATAGTTCTCCTTTGTGAGAAATATTTTTTGTTAATCTTCCCTATAGGACTCCCGTCACACTAAAACACCAAGCAAAGTGATTACTGGAACTGGTGAAGCTACCCTAGCAATGCTTATGTTTTTACTGATAGTTCTATCAAATGGAAAACTCACTTATAGAGATGAAGCAAACTGACACACTATCAGATAACTGCAAAGCTGCTGCAAGAACTGTAAACGAAACCAAGACCCGTGTTTTATCTTCAAGAAACTCATGGACTTTCTCATCAAAAGACAGATTTACGTAGGAACTTATGCATATGCACAATGAATGTTTGAGTGAACAAATATTGACTAAAAGTCATTTAAACTACAAAGTAAGCAAAGTATCTTATGGCATCTTTGGAAGTCCCAGTATTAATACAGCTAGAGTCTTAACCAAGTTCTTTTCCTCCACAAAATTAGCTCTGTCTGGTAAAACCCAGTGTTAATACACAACGTTTCTTTTCCTAAGGAAGGATAAAGAAGATGATGTGTGCCCAGATTATCTACTTAATGAATGCAAGAATCAGCTCTGTATTACCATTCATTACTAGGAAGTTCCTGCCTGATGCAGTTCTGCCCTAAAAAAAACTGAGAGAGTTCCCTGTAGCTGTTAAGGAGAGTTAAGCACATTTCCTTTTATCATCATATCATCTTACCCATTGATTTTGCTTGAAGCTAGCAAGTGCCTGAAGACCCCTTCTGCTAACAGGAAAGGGAGGAGCTGGTAGGAGGTGGTTACATCTTCCAACAGCATCACTGTTGGCAAAACTACCTGCCTTACCCTACGAATGAAGAAAGCTATTGCCAGTCTGATTGTATCTCAAAGCACACGTGCTACAATCAGAAAGATTAACGTGGTGGAAGGGGATATAGGAGTATAAAAGCAAAGGGACCAGCATGGATGGAACCACGTTACAAAGGAAAGGTGCTCACCATCTCCAAAGACCTAGGCAAACAGGAAAGACTTCACAAGGGAGGGAACTCCAACCAGAGATCCTGGCTCACTGGCAGTCAGCCCTTAAGTGAGGTCTAAGAGAGGAGCAGCCAGGCTCCACCCCTTCCTGTCCCACAGGTAAATTGCTGCAGCTGTGCTCACAGGGCTGACCGGTCCTTTCCCAGGTGCTCCATCAGTGGTTCAGGCTGTGACTCACTTACCTTACAACATGGTATTTCCAACAGTTCCTGCCCACATTTAGTATGTATTCTTTATAGTCACATTATGCAAGATAGAATTTTGAAGCCTTTTTTTTTTAAAAAAAAAAAAAAAGTTTTTTTTCTGTGAAAAAATAGGCTGAAGATTTAATGGCACGAGACAGCTACAAACTATTCAGTATTGTAGAAATCTGAGAGCTTTTCCTAATTGAAGAGAGGCATGTGAACACATTTCTACTGTTACCACAAACTTGTTATTTTGAAAATGTTAATTTAAAAATATTGAGGAGGCTCAAGCCAGCCATACTGATATGAAAGGAGTGCACCGAGACTCCTATCTGAAGAACAAAATAAATAAAATATCAGAATCGAATTTCAGCACCCTCATTCTTAATCATGGAAGTAAAAAGACCGAGTGATCAAATCACCACCTAAGAGTAAATCAGACACAGAAATCAGTTTACTGTTGTCCATTCTATCTATAGCTGATTCTTGTCTCTTCTCAAGTATAGGACTACAGGCATCATGTGATTTACATCACCATATACTGTTGCATGCTCCTGAACTCTTGAGAAGGTCAAGGAAGGAACGCAGTCACACAGAAACCAACAATACTCTTCCATTGTGACTTTCGCCCTGATATAACTTTACTGAGATTACTCAGTAACTCTGGAGTGAAAAGCCACCCCAAGTGCCCTAGGAGACAATCCCAATGAATAGAAAAGGCACATTTACCACATGCTTGGAGACTCCTCTCCTCATCTGCCCTACAGTTCCTGGCCTCCCCTATCTGACGGCACAAAGCTCACATACCAGTTCATTTCGTTCATCAACCAACAACGTGTTCCTGTCCTCCAGTTTCCGGATGGTTGCATTCAACTCAGCTATCCTCTTCTGGTTCCTGCGCAAGTCCTGTTCATCAGTAACAACACAACACAGTTACTGATTCTTCAAAACACATTTGGGAAAGCAATCACCCAAAGCTACATACCAGTCAACACAACCAACAAATTGTACTTGTTATTTGTTTTTTAGAAGATCACACATCTTGGCAAAAATGAGTTTTTGGGAGAAGAAAACATCTACTTTTGAGAAAATTTTAAGATTAAAAAATTCTACTTCTAAAAAAATAGTAAAAAGATCCTGATGCTTTTTTTTTTTTTTTAAACTATTATTACAGGGGGGAAAAAACCCCAAAGCTGAAATATTCTAGTCTCAATTGATTTTTCCTATACACTGCTGGGCCAGTAAGTCAGGCAAAAAAGTAAGGACACCCCTTTCAGTATCAACTTTCTTTACCTTCTTCTTCCTCATTCACATATATGTAAAAACGCGCATGCATACACACTTGTTGGGTAAATACTGTGCTTAGTCACAAGGAGCTGCATTCCTTGTTGTAATGCTGTAACGTGATGGGAAGTGCAGAATAGCAGGGTGACAAAGACTTCGGCTGCAGCAAACAAGAACAAAGACAGCAGCCACGGACACAAAAAAAAGAAAAAGAAAAAAAAAGAAAAGGCTGCTTATCATTAGAAGGCCTCATATGCAGGGCTCTCCAGTGAGATCCCCTCACCTCCACTGCCAACCTTTAAATGAGGTCTGGGAAGGGGTGGATCCTGGTTTCACCCCTTCCACCCAATCAGGCACATTGCATACACCTGAACTCCCCTGGGTTGGCCATGCCTTCCCACCACATGTTCCATCACTATTTCAGGCCATGAATTTGCATATCTGCTACACTTGTGAATGACAGCAATAGCTGCACATGCATAAAGCAAGACAGAAATAGGAGGTACTCTCCAAATCTCCTAGGTTCCCCACAGCCTTCTTTCTGCCCATCTTCCCAATTTCTGTTTGTTTTTGAGGATGCAGGCTATCTGGATAGTTATGTTCATCAATCAATACTTTCAAAGCAGTACTGATTTTTTTAAACGTTTTCCCAGGGGCCAAGACAACATTTAAGCAAGAGAAACGTTGTGTAGAAGTCAGTAAAACCTGCATACAGGGCTGCTGCAGTGCTCTGAGCCATCTCCGGCCCTTCCTGGGATCTCCCTCTTGGGACTGCTCATGTTACACTCTGCCTCTTTCACCAGGAAAAGCTGTTCATCCAGAGCTTCTTTCTGCAGCTGCAGTTTCTGCACATAGCCTGTTTGTGTCTCCAATTCTTTCTCCAAGGAAAATATGATCCTATCTTTAGCCTTGATCTCATCCATCTGATGAGAAAAGCACAAGAGCAACAATGTTAAGTGTGTAAAAACAAAAGCACTTCAGCTTCAGTGAATATAGTACAATAGGATTTACTAGTGTTCACCACTTAAATCTGCTAAGTCTTACCACCCAGGCTTGAAAATAATATACTCCAAGGAGTCAGCCGCACTGTACACCATTGCAGTAACAGCTTTGATAGCCTTACACAAAGCAAAACTGAGCACAATGTGATGTGCAAAACGGGAGGGGACACAGCCAGGACAGCTGACTCAAACTGGCCAAAGGGATACCCATACCATGTTGACACTGTGCTCAACAGTAAAACTAGGAAGACTAAGCTGGGGCTGCCATGCCTTAATGACTGAACGGGCATTGGTCAGCCAGAGGTGAGCAACTCTGTTTTGCATCATTTGCATTTCTTCTTCTTGGTTTTTAGGATTTTTTTCTCTTTTACTTCTTAAACTCTCCTTACCTCAATGTTTTTTATAACTTGTTACTATACGATTATTTCTACCCCCTCACTGTGGGAGCAGAGGAGAGGTGAATGTGTGAGTGGGGGGTGCATAGCTCCCTATCAGTGTTCAACCACAATGCTTTAAAATCAAAAATACCACTCCTGACAGTATTTACATCACTGTTTCCTTCTACTGAACTGTCAGTTTTCATGCCAAATGTTCCAATATTGCAAGCAGGCCCAGTTCCCTAGCTATACAAAAAACACAGCCACTTGCACTACTACTGGTATAGGTTCTTTTTACCCATTCTCATTAGTATGAATTCACTGAATGCTATGGCAAGACCAAAGCAAAAGGTCTCTTCCCTCTTGCCATGATTTGATGTGTTTAAGACACTAACATAAGGGTTAAAGAAACTAATAACTTCAAGTGCAGATGTATTTTCTAATATTTCGCATGGCAGATATATTAGGATCTTGGCAAGCCAAGGTCTTGATGAAATCAATCACCATTACTCTGTGGTATTAGCTGCCCACCCAGTGGTTGCTCTAACTGACTCACTGTGAGTTATCAGCCACAGAGATACAGCAACATGAGGTTTTCGTTACTTCTTCAGACTGAGCTGCTTTGCAGAGTTCTAAGATTCACCAAAAAAATTGAAAAGCAAAGGAGACAAACTCACTACAGAATAAAATACATGAGATGTTTTGGTGCAGGGAAGGCTTACTAACCAGGCGGCGAATATCCCTCTCGCTCTCCCACTTGATCTTAGAAATGGCTTCCTGGTGGGACTGGTGCTCACTTCGAAGATCACCTGCTTTGATCTTGTCAGCTTGGATCATATTGTTCAAGGCCTCATCTACCTGCTTTTTGGCAGACTTAAGTTCAGTAATTTCCTGCAGAAGCTTAAGGCGCTCAGAGTCAAACTGTTTTCTGGCCTCTTCACGAGCCTCAATAGTCAGGGCTGTCCTTACTTTATCGCTGCTGCCATCCCGCAGGGCACACAATGCTGACTTGAGACGCTGGATTTCACTGTCTCGGACTTTCACCATTCGTGTCATCTCCTGCTCATGCTGTTTGATGAGGTTCTCCCTCACAGCCTGCAGCTCCTTCATTTTCTCCTCATGGAGTTTGGCTTTTAGCTCTGTGATTTGCACAGTTTGCTTGCGCTGCTCCACTTCACGGATACGCTTTGTTTCTTGAGTCTTCTCTCTTTCAAGTTTAGCAATCTAAGTTGAAATAAAATGAGAGTCAACTGCTACCAAGATACTGCTACCAAAACAAGCTCACTTGGACACACAGCCATGTCAGAATAAGAAAGGGCTTCCTGCAGACCCCAGTTGTTCCTCCATCCTCCTCCAACAAAATACGGGCCAACTCCTGAAGACTTCACTTAGATACTGCAATGTCTTTACTGAAGATAAATACTTCAGTTTTTCCTTAAGAAATAAGTCCTTGTATAGACATTTGACTAACAGCTTTCTAACTCAACTGTTAATTTCAACCAAATTCCTCAGAGAAGTAGAAGGCTTGGCAATAGCAAGATTCATACAGATTTCATGTGATTCATGACTGTAGGAAGTTAGATGAAAGTGCGTGCTGCAAATCTGAACATCCAGAAAACATCTAGTCTTTTGTAGATGTTCTTAATCATAAGTGAAACTTTAAGATAGTCAGCTCTTGGACATGAAACTAAAGAAAAGTGTGCTTCACTGGTCGTTACAAGGATAGTTCTTTGTTGCTATTTAATATAAACAACTTTTAAGTTATTCGTCCATATGTTTGGAATCAAAGTTACAGAGCAGCCTTCAATACATTTACACTAATATATGTCTAAGCCCAACTGGAGACCTCTGAGCACTTTCACAGCACAATCCTACATGCACCTACACATAATACTAAGTTGATTTTTAAGGAAGTTTAGATATCATACTGAAAAGCTGGCGGATCACTGGTACCTGAACAAGCCTGAAACAATGCATACATACCTTAGTGCACATGACAGAGTTGGTCTGTACTGCAGAAGGATTACAAAGGTCCATATGGACTTTCATGCTGTACACTTAAGGACTACTTCACTCAACTTTGAAATAGAGGTATATTTTACTGAAATAAGCAGTCATTCAAAACAGCAACACTACTAGGCACTGGAATTTTTTAAAAACAGTATACTTAGAAACAATTTGAGCAGATAAGATGAAAAATCACTAATTGGAACACAGGCAAAGATGTTACAAAAGGCATAATGCTTCACTGTAAGGCCAGAGGCTGCTTGAATTTGTACCTCAGTAAAAAGAAGTCTTTTCCAGTGAAGGAACATCAAACTGTTGTTCAAGAGAAGAGTTTTGCTGCATCTCTTGATTTCTGTTCTACTGTTTTCCCCACGTTTCTTTCCTTCAGTGCAGACACTTCTTTAAAACCAAACCCTCACTCACCTTAGATTTCTCCTGATGCAGCTCAATTTGGATGTCCGTTAGCTTGGTCCTGAGTTCCTCATTGGCAGCCTGTAGGGCTACAATCAGTGCCTCAGGCTTTTCGCCTTTGCTACGTCCTTTTTTGGACATGATTTCTTATCAGTGAGAGTCCGTATGTTTAATTGTTTCAAATACAGACTGCCATCTTTTTTGATCCTTTCTGTGCCAGTTTGTTTAGCACTTACTGCATGGCATTCCTTAAGGTTCTGTCCTCAGCTGCTTTGGAAGCCCTGCAAGAAATTAGACATACTATTATTTGCCAGTGGACGTTGCAGCATGACAGTTCACATGGTTACAGAACACAGGATAGCTCATTTCTCAAAACACTGCAGTCTTTGTCTGAAAACCTACAAGGGAGATGCCAGCACAACCAGGCTTCTGCATGCAAGTCTGACATACTAGTAGAGATTTCGTACGTACTCTTTCCCTTTTCTCATAAAGGCACAGCATGCAAAGAAGATACAAATTTGTTTACAATAAGGATTAAAGCTATTGAGACTACAGAACTGGAGAGGACGGGTCATTTAATTCAAGCCTTACAGTTTGGGATCATGATGGAACAGGCATTTTAGTCCAAAGGTTCTATCAACAATCTCTTCCTCTTGCCCTTCCCAATCCCTTGCAATCTTCCAAGCCTCCCAAATTCAGGCTTTCACGCAACAATTCTACAAACTGCTACAGGAAGAGAAAAGCACTGACATTCTCACCACCATTCTGAGTTTCCTTAGAAGCAGAGAAAAAAAATGATATGCAAAACCCCCAGCCAGGCTAGAATTTGTCTCCTTTGCCATTTTGCAAAGGAGACTCCATCAACAGTGTCCCTCAGCCAAATTTTGGAGAAAATTCCAACCTTAGCCAAACTAATGCAGTAAGTTTAAACGCAATCACATCAGTAAGATATGCAGATTGGGAAGCTTCGCGAACAGCACACTAAAACACAGATGAGCTGGTATGTCTAGAACATTTTGAAGGCATCCCTGCTCCACTGTAGGAGCATTCCCTGCATCAGCCAAGGGTCTGGCAACACCACATATCCCGCCCATCGATACACAGACCAAATGAGCTTTAACATGCTAAGCACAGGCAGAGTCTTCAAAGTCTCTCTCTGGCCATGTCTGAGTCTGCACTTATAGACTTAAAAAAACAGAAAGAAACTCAACTTGGTTGAGTTTCCAGCAACAGTACCTATCACACAGTGTAACCCTCGCTGTCAGATGTGTCAGTTGTTTGCACACCTTGCCTCTTCAAGTGGCCTAATTCCCTCCTTGCTAAGCTGCTTCCAAGAATCTTGGAATGCAGTCTGACACAGATTGATACTCTTTTGCAGCTTGAGTTATGCCTACTGATTTACAAAGAGTTGCTTTTATGTCACAGAAAGAAGAGTGTATGCTGTTGGATTCAAGCATACAGTTCTGTAGGGAGACTGTAATAAGGGTCCTTTATTAATCTAGTTTGAGGTTTGGGCCCTTGAGATCTGCTCCAGACCACTCTAGGAAAATGGGTGGAAATACGTATTGAACATATGTTGCAGACCACACTGTGGTGAGACTGGCTGTCTGCAGCAGCACTTAAGAAACCCTGCTGTAATGCAATGTGAGCTGGAAGCTGTTCTGGAACACAAGGTGATCCTATGGGTAGAGAAGAGACCACGGCGCACAACTTCCAGGTTCTTTTTCCTGCCCCTTCCACTCGCTGTTTTGGTTTGTAACTTTGGCTATTCTGCTTAAGACAGTGACTTACTTTGCAAATCTGTAATAATCATTTCACTTACGTGGGTTCATAATTAATGAAGAGAACTCTGTAATCAGTGTAACTTTCACGTTCTTTCAGCACATCCTTTATATTATTAATGAAGGGCTAGATTTTTGCTTTCATTATTTCTTGAATTAATCACAGCAAACCATTACTGCAGCTAAACCATTACCGGCAGTTTTTTACCTAGGAACAGAAGAACTAGTCCTTCCTAAATTGAGGTCCCACATTGTAACTCTGGCAGAGCTAGAGCACAGAGGGGCTGGGGCACAAAGTCCTGTAGGCAGAAGCTGCACTCCTGACAGAGCACAGACCTTTCAGTTTATAAGAGCAAAACAGATGATCAGCAAGAGCTGGGCTCTATCAACACTCCAGCATAAGGAGAGGTAGCAGCACAGATTCCCACTGCAGGTCAATACTACTGTTATTTTCTGCTGAAGCAGCAGGATCTACTTGTCAAGGAGGTCAGAGAAGATTTCTTTCTAAGTGGCATCTCTACCTTAAGTCTACGTGCACCCTTCACAAATTATTCTGGCACAGTAAGGGCCTATGTTAAGATTTGCATTTCTTTTTAGTAATCAAAACCTTCACTAGTGTAAAACTACCCTTCACAGAGGAAACTGTTGTTATTGGTCATTTAGGAGATCTGCTGGACATCTTGTAAGTACTGCACACACAGTCGTGAAATACATAGATGGCCTCCACTTGCAGTAAGCGTTCTCCTCACACACATTACTTTTGAAGAGAAAAAGGAAAATATATGGCCCCTTCAGCAGGCTGCATCCTCCAGGAGATCTAAGTGACATATGGTATCCAAAAAAACTGTCTGTACAGAAAGAGACAAACGGCCTTAGCAGCTATTCATTGCGCTCCCTTGGCATCCCTTAATGGTTAACGCATCTCAAACACGCGTAGCATAAATGACTTCATGCCAAATATCCTTCTCCTAGGACTTCCCATCACCCCATGTCCACAAGAGTTAGAAACGTATTCTTGATTGACTAGAAAGTACACCAGCTACCATAAGGGTAACAGAAATTTGGACATCTCTGTGCATTTGCATGTTAAAAAAAAGTTGAGCAGATCCTCCACATGTAACAGCTCCACTGAAATAGAAGTTATTTTTAAGTACTTGCAGAAGATATAAGTACTGAGTAAGCTAGAAGTAAGAACACAAAATGCTGACCAAAAGATAAGCGTTCATTTCTTTATGCACTAAAAATACACATGGAAGACTGGTATCATATTTACTGAAATGCAGTAAAACACACACAATATATTGCAATACTGTTAAAAGCAAAAGTAATGAGAAACATTAGGCTTATATTATTCTAAATCTGTCATCTCTATGCTTTACTTTTTGGGTAACATTATTTCCCTGTTTCTCCCTGAAATTGCAGTATCATCAGTATAGAAAATAATCTTATTTGAAAAATAAATCAAGATATTCATAGAGCCACATAACTTCACAATATCAACCTATTAACTAGCAGGCTGTCACTATCCCTAAAGTTGTATTTACTCTTCTGAGAGTGAGAACATTAAATTCTAGACCAGATCGTGATTAATACTGGAAGACAAATCCCCTCTGTGCAACTTCTAAATCTCTTCCCCTTCTCAGCATTTAAAAAAAATTAAAACTCCTGCAGGATGGGGGAGGGGGTAAAGGGGCCAAGTCTAAGTAGATTTCAATGCAATCTCTAAGTCTAGAGCTGGTTAAGAAAAATATATCTCAAAATTTATGCAGTGTGGAAAATCCTGAAAATTAAGAGTATCCTTCAGAACAGAAAAGAAATGGAAACTATTATTACTATCTGGGAAATACTGAAACCATCTTACTGCATTGCTTTGCTATTATGAAATCAATATATAATTATTGAGATTGCTTTTTTTATTAGTATACCTGTCATGGTTTTATGATTTTTGTCACTGGTATTCCACACCATGTAGTGAACTGGGAGTTAAAAGGTTAATCACAGAATGGCCTGGGTTGCAAAGGCCCACAATGCTCATCTGGTTCCAACCCCTGCTGTGTGCAGGTCGCCAACCAGCAGCCCAGGCTGCCCAGAGCCACATCCAGCCTGGCCTTGCATGCCTGCAGGGATGGGACATCCACAGCCTCCTTGGGCAACCTGTGCCAGTGCCTCACCACCCTCTGGGGGGAAAAGCTGCTTCCTAATATCCAACCTAAACCTCCCTTGTCTCACTTTATGACCACTCCCCCTTGTCCCATCACTACCCATCCTTGTAAGCAGCCATTCCCCCTCCTGTTTATATACTCCCCTCAAGTACTGGAAGGCCAACGCACCAGCTGTGAGGATTGCTGGCATTCCCAGCAGACTGCCACTGTTCCCTTTCTGTTTTCCTGCTCACCAGTCACAAGACAGTCCTTCTTTTGCTGTTCATCTCTGCAGTGCTCCCCAGCCATCTGTCTTCAGCTTTAGTGTCCAAAAGTGAAGGCCTTACTCTATCTCTCATTTTGATTTATTAGTTTCAACTCCAGTGATACTGTATTTTACTGTGCAATCTCACATTCCACTATCACATTTAGTAAATTAGTTTTCTCCCTCCGCTCATTGCCACTGTTTTACTTCAGGCCCATCTCCCTGCCTCTTCCCTTTGTACCCTTCCTGCTGAACCCGGCACACTGGGCCAGAGCTGCTGACAGTACTACATAACGATCACGAAACACCTCTGTCAAAACCAGATGGCTCTATAACAAAACACTAAGAAAACCGTTATGAAATCTGTAGCAAAAGGTTGTTTTGGCTCACAAAGCTCTGAGCTTTGTAAAGATTTATATACCAAATCTGATGTTAAGTAGTTGTCCTACAGAATGGGTTTTACAGCACAGAAAAAAATCTCAATAGACAGCAGCCTATTCTCTGCTATTCTCAAGCTGTTCTGCAGAGTTGTAAGAGGACTTGCTTCCTTCATGGATAAACAAACAGGGTGAAGGAGCTGCAAACCCTCATTAACTTGGATTCTAATGTGTATTATCACAAAATGTGCATTTTGTAACAAAATCACAGCATGCTAACCTCACAAAGGACACTGCCTATACAAATTATAGTCAGGCCACTCCTCTGCTAGGTTTTAATTTTGTGGTCTCACTGAAACTAGGCTGCTGTTCAGAGTTTCATTTGTATTTCTACAAATTCCATATGCTCCCTCACAGTGCATGGTGTTTGATACGGTTTATTTCCCATAATAGTAAACTTGATTCTGCGATGCTTATTAAAAAGTAAGCAAAGTATGAGGGACTCCTCTTCTGTGATACTGGCCCAGTGTCAGAGCAGATGTTGGCAGTATGGCAGCAGATGTTGAACCTTCCTGTCATTATTGCATTACATTTTGTTGCCATGTGACGGCAGAGCAGCTAACGAAAGATGGACAGCATGGGCCGTGTTTCCTTGTAGTGACACCACCACAGCAGCTGTGAAACAGCAAGTCACTGGCAAGCGTGACATGCAGGCTC